GCGCAGGGCGTCCCGGTCCAGAAAAGGCCGCAACTGGTGGATCAGGCGTACCCGATAAAACGCCCCCCTGGTCACGGCCGACAACTGATCTTCCAGCGTCAGCCGCGAATCCAGGAGGACCCCCAGATTGCGCACCCTCTCCGAGGGGGCCAGAATTTCGCCCCCTATAGTCAGCGATGGAGTCAGCTGACTATGCCGCTGCGCCGGCATAGGCAATTCCTCTCAAGGACAAACGAAATAGATGTTCCATAACAAAATGACCATAGAAAAAATAAAGATATTTCCCACAATGGAGAGTAAATAGAAAAAAAATGGAAAATCCCCATTTCTTTAGAAAGAAAAAGAAAAAAAGATCAAATATATATACCAAAAACAACTACAGTGAAACAGTTCTTTTAAAAACTAGTAAAATACCATACAAAATCCTTGCTGTAGAAATCTGATGCAAATATACAGTAAATCAAATCAAATCAGTAGTGAAATTATCAAGGAGAAAGCCTTTGCACTATAGGTTGCCATGCAGCAAAAGACATATTGTTTCATAACTCCATAGCAAAGCAGTAAAAAGAGTTCACATTTATAGTCCAGCAAGGGGTGTAATAAAATAAATCAATGTTCAACCAGATAGTTATTTAACAATGTAAATTAGAAGCAAAAAAAGTTATGTTTAAAACCAAGGTGCATCTAAAAACAAACACAGGAAAATATGGAGATGGAAATATAGTTTTAATATATTTTAAAATTGGACTTCCGGTGGCGAGGCTTCGCCGAAGGAGGCTTTTCTCTTAGCCTCCCGCCCAGGACTGCGTCAAAGCTGTCAAAACAGCGCGGATCAGCTGTTTTGCGGCTCGGAACTTTCTCCCCGGGCGAAGGGGAGAAAGTGAGTTCGGTCTGGATAGGGGTTGAGTTCCCTAGTCCCCCCAGGAACGATCCTGGGGGGATGAAGGTGATGAACTCCCCCGGAGTCCGGACCTCTCTCCGCAGCTCGGAGTGTCTTTGCTCCTCGGAGCGAAGCTAGACATCGCCGCCACTGCTGCTACTTTGTATCTGCTTGTGAGTAACTTTTAAACAGACGGAACCAGACAGGGGATTTTTACTTTAGTTAACTTGTGACTTTAACTCAAAGATTTTATTGGGATTTTTGCTATTTGCTATAAGTGAAAGTGAGAAGAAAATGGCCGCAGAAGCGCTGCTTCTTTGTAACAAAAGGAAAACTTTCAATCTTCTTCCGGTTGTGGAATGATACATTTTAAAGGATTTTAAAGATTTTTTCTTTTTTCTTTTTTAGTCAAGCTTTTTTGAGTTTATACTTGTTGTTGTGAGTTTTATAACTAAAATTTGGCAGAATGGCTTCAAAACGTACTGGAGTTTCTGCATTGCCTAAAACAGCTATTTCCTCTCCAGTTGTGCAAATTTCACAACAAAAAACTAGATCTCCCCCACCATCACCTCCTCCTTCCATTACACTTAAAGATCTACAAGAGGTTTTAGCTAAGTCCTCATTGCAGACTGTGAAACAAACAGAAGAACTTCTTGATAAGAAAAATCAGGAACTTTGTGAAAATATATCACACATTTTTCAAGGACTAGCAATTCATGTTGATCGTATAGAGGGACGGGTGGATGAGTTAGTGGAGAAAATGGAAGGAACAGAGGACAGACTTGAGAAAGTAGAAGAAGGTGTGGAAATTCTTCAAAATGATATGGTAATGTCACAATATAGAGAAATGGAATTTGCTCTGAGGATTAGGGGTCTTAAGGAGGACTTACAAGAGAAACTTAAAGAAGAAATTGTTACAGCTTTGGCCCTGGTGTTGGATTGCAACCCAGAGGTGATCTGTGGAGAAATAGAAATTTTTTTTAGAGTAAACTCCTGGGTTGCACGTCAGAGAAACCTACCTAGAGATGTGGTTGTTTACTTTACCACAAGAGTACGTCGTAATGAAATTATACAGCTTTTTTACCAGCAGAGATTTCAAATTGCTGCACAAGATATTATACTTTTAAAAGAAATACCTTCTAAGATTTTAAGAAGAAGAAAGGATTTTACTTTTTTGGCTCAGGAGTTAAAGAAGCGGCAGATGCCTTTTAGATGGGAGATTCCTTTTGGAATTGTGGTAAATTATGCGGGGACCAGATACAGATTAAATACTGTTCAAAAAGCTAAAGATTTTTATTTATCGGTCCTGAAAGCTGATTTATCATCATCATCGACATCTAAAGCAAAGGAAGATTTGATGGAGCAACTTGTTGTGGAATTGCCTGGGGCCATGTCATCATCTGCAGGAGATCCTCAGAATCAACAAAAGTTGGGAGTGAATTCAAAGGAGCAAAGAATGACCCGTGCTGCCTATAGGCATAAAGAGAGAGACCAACAACAAAAAGAAATTGTATCTATAACATATTCACCGACTTCGGAGCCAGTGGGAGGGGCGAGGCCAAAGAGATCTGTAATGACAGATTTGCAGGGAATGCTTAATACGCTCCACGAGCCAAAGGATGGTTAAGTTGATGACGCTGAACGTGAATGGTTTGATTTTACCACGGAAAAGGAAGAAATTATTTTAATATTTGAAATAATATAAAAAGGATTATATGCTTGTAAGGAACTCATATTACTTTGAAAGATTCAAAATATTTGATAAACTTAAGACTGGGATTTTATCTTATTTCTCCAGCTTTGAAGAAGGAGGCATTGGTTTATATGTACTATATCAGCAACAACAACAAAAACAATTTTATAGGTTTTTGTATATGTTTGGAGACTGGAATGCTGTTGCTGATCCAATGAAAGATAAGAAGATTTCTTCGAAAGTATGGACTTAAGAGTGAAGAAAGTGAAGGAAAAACTTAAGTGTAAAATTTAAGAGAAAATTTATATAAGATGTTTTATAGATAATATTTAGATCTTTAAAAATTGTTTTGTATGTATTTTAGTTTACAGTTTAAATGTTGGAGGTGGATAGATTATACTCAGAGAAAGTATGGAATAAATAAATATCATATAGTTTTTGAGTAGATATATTGTTTTTACTTATTGTTTTAGATTAGAGTTAAAGTATGTAAATATTGATTGTATTATGTTTGTTTAGTTAAATTGTAATTTAGATATGGAATGGGATGTGTTTTAATCCTGTATTTGGTTCCGGGAAGTCCGGGGGGGAAGGGGATTAGGGGACAGAAATTATAGAAATTGATGCATTTATATGTTATAGGTAAATAATAATTGTATTGAAAAGAGGAGATGCTCGGCTGGTACGCCAAACTGCACTCGAAGAGGTGGTTAAGAAGGGAGATGGGATGTAGGTAGGTGGAAAGGAGGAAGGAGGAGAGGTTGTGGGTTTAGAGGGAGGAAGGACAGGAAAGTGAATGAGGGTGGAGGCAAGGCGGGGACTGCCGAGCGTTTCCGAAAATGTATTGACTTGGATTATCTTTTTTTATGCTTGTGTATGTAAATGCATCACATTTGTATTTGTTGTTTAATTACAAAAATCAATAAAAATTTTATTTTATATATATATATATATATATATATATATATATATATATATATATA